GGAACATTGTGTGGCATTCCTACAATATTAGGAATTCCAAATTTGTATTACTTCCTTTCACACTTTACTAGTTTACACTTTATTAATTACTTACACTTAATTACACTTTATTAATATACACACTTTATTAATTTATACACACCAGTAGAATTAGGTTTATCAGAAGGTGCGGCTGGTGCTGGTAGAGGAATCTGTGTTAATAAACCAACACCAACGCCAGCTCCAAATGGAGAATTTACTGGAGGTGTTAACATAGTTTGCATCATTCCTGGTGGTCCTAACAAACTTTGCATATTTGGGGGTGGTACACCTATTGGAACATTCGGCATTAAACTGTGCGCCATTGGTAATCCCATTGGTCCAATCATACCTAAACAGTAAAAAATAATATGAGGTGGTAAAATAAAAAAAAAAAAACTTGAAAAAATACAAGTACTAATTCCCAATTAAAATATTTATTATTATTAAAGTTTTTATTTGATACTAAGAAAAAATATTTGAGTAAAATTACTTACGAGGAACTCCTGGCATGGTGAAAGCAGGCGGCATCATTTGTAACTGCGTATTTGGTGGTGGTAAAAGTGCAGCTGATGTAGGTGGTCTAATCGGTGGTGGTTGGCTTGTATCGATTACTTGTTGTTGCTGTTGACCTTGTTGCTGAGTTTGCTGTTGAGATTGTTGTTGCTGTTGAGCACTAGTTGAAGGTTGCATTACATTTACAATACCATCTGCCAAATTTGGGATTCCAGCAGCTGCAACTAAAGCTTGTTGTTGCAGTTGCAGCTGTTGTTGAAGCACGTCTGCATTTGTTCCGGAATGCTTTAATTTACCTATAAAATATACTAATTAAGTAAAAAATATTTTAATTTTTTGAAAATAGTGCGGGAGTTAACTAAAAGTATTTTTTGTTTACCTTTTAAATTAGGTGGCAGAGTATCTTCATCAATCATACCTCCTTCTTCAAGTAGTTCTAAATCCTGATCAGTAACATTAACTAATTTATTCCACGGAATATAACTAACTCCTAATTCAACTTCCCAATAATCTTTCCATTCCTTCCCCTTTACTCCTTTTCCTGGTGCCCAAGCTAACTGAAATATATTACAAATTCTATTATTCTAAAAAAAAAATATTTTCCTATTGTCACTTAACAATGCAAAAGATGGAAATTAATGATAAATTTGTTTTAATAATAATTACAATCAATTAAGAACTAAAAACGAAAGCAATTTTAATATACTTAGAGATGATCAAATATTAGCTTACAGTGATTGCTTTTCCTTGCATTTTATGGTTTTTAAGCTTTGTAAGCGCCCTATATGCATCTTGTCTTCTATTCATACATATGAAGGCGCAACCCCTAGGCGAAATTAAATCTATACTGACAATATCACCAAATTCTCCAAAAGTGTCTGAGAGTTCTTCTTGGTGCACCAATTTTGATAAATGTCCTACCCAAAGAGTAGTACTACAAACTACAAGTAGACATAGTAAATTCACTAAAAATTTATTCAATTAACAAGCAAATGCATATGTAGAGAAAGTGCAAATTACCACTTAATTTGTCCCTCACAATAGGTGGTAATCCACGTTTGCGTCTTTCTCTTTCCTTTTCCCGTTCTTCCTCAGTCATTTTTTCTCGACTATCTTCCCGTTTTCTATCACGTCCTCTATCTCTTGAACGAGATCTGTAATATGATACATTTCATCACCCGATAATAAACTATTTTGCACAAGTAAACAGCTGATTTAAATAAAAAATATTACTTCAATAAGAAATATATAAGATTACCTTCTTCTCCTAGATCTACTTCTTGATCGAGATTTTCTATCTCTATCTCGATCTCGATCCCTGTCTCTATCTCTATCTCTATCTCTATGCCTTGGTGATCTAGATCGACTGTGATGTCTGTACCGATCAGGTGATCTACTTTGTGATCTTGTATTTTCACAATTTACAATTTCTACGCTGCTACTATCTCGTCTTGTACCATTTCTATAAATAATGTCGTATTAAAAATTAATTTTAATATTACGACGAAGTTAAATTAAATGAAAAATATATTAAAATAAAACTGTTTTTTAATAAAATTATGAAACTGATTGTCAAGAAATGTTTACCCAGAATAATCTTGTGTGTCTTGCCGTTCATCAAGAAGTGGACTCTTTTGATTTTGATGCGTCTGTTGATTAATCTGCCTAATATTTGATAAAGGTTGAGAGGCATACGGTAGAGCCGGTGGATAACCAGGAGGAGGTTGACTCATATCTTGTATGACTCCGCTACTTACATTTGTTGTATACGTATTTTGTTGATTTGGTTTCAAAATGTCCGAAGGCTTTAATTCACATTCTGACGCAAATGGTAAATTCTGAAATAAAAATGAATTTTAATTAATATATGTAAAGTTAATAGAATCAATTTTTATATTTACTGTCAATAACGTACAGGAACAGTTTGAGCTAGATGCTTATCAAATTCTTCTTCCTGTTGCTTCATTTGTTGAAGTTTTCGCATTTTTTCTTCTGTTTCATGTTGTGATGAAGAAGTACTTCCTTGCATTGTTTGTTGTAATGTTTGAAGCTGTCTCAAAACCTATTATTAAACCATTAATTAAGTTATATTACAGATGAAGAATAGATTCTTGTTTAATTCAATTATAATAATGCAAGAATGATTAATTTGTACCTCTGGATTTGTTAACAGAAGTCCAAGACTTTCCAAACTATTTCCCGTAGAAACTGCATTATGTTGGCCAGCGTTAGATCCTGCTGTTGCTGCTGGAGAATTAGCAACAACAACATCGTCATCTTCTTCCTCACCATAATCAAAATCTAAAAGTTTTTTATCAAATTTTACAGAACTTTTTTGTTCATTTGTGGACTCTTGCTTTTTTAATAATAATTGTTGTAAATGTTGTAACTGATCAAGAAAAGAAGCATCCATTTGACTTGAATTTGATTGCCCCTAAAAAGAGAAAATTGAAGTTATATTCATTTTGAAAAAGGTATAATGTAAATAAATATAATTACAAAAGTTATAAAATAAAATAAGTGTAAAAACAAAACTTACTAAAAGTTTATTAGCGTTGACTATATTTGCTGTTTCCATTTTTGTTTGTGCAAGCCAAGCAGGATCAATTGGCTTAGCGGATGAAAATAATTTCTGATCCTTTACTGCATTTTTTGCAGTCAGGGGAGGAGTCTTTACAGAAGTTCCAGTAATGCTTGCATTATTTGCTGTAGACACATTCAGTGTACCTAAAAATAATAATGGATACTCACTATTTAATGAATTTTATTTAAATTCTATATACTAAATTATAATTTCTTTTTTACCATTGGTATTGACTGCTTGTTCTTTATGTATTGGATGATTTGGGTCTGCAAGATCAAATAGAGGTTGTATAACCTCAGAAGGAAAGACTGCATTCTTTTGCCAAAGGTTTAACACTCTTATTACTTTGCTTTTGTCTTCCTGAGGACATTTCAAAAGATTTAAGAAGGTGGTTTGCATGTTCTTGGCAAAGCGTGGAGCAAAGACATCTTTCTCTACTCCAAACTGATGTCTGGACTGGCGTACAATTGAATCTATGACATACAGCCCAGGCACTTTGTACTCTGGCTTACACTGTAATATAAAATTAATAACTAAAAT